GCGGAACCCGGAACGCACGGGCGCCCTGGGAACGCGCGCCTGGCGGTCTGCGCTGCGGCCGGGGGAAATTCGGGAGCGGACCGCCCTACTCAGACTCCCAGAGGGAAGGCAATGGCGGGGCTGTCCTCAGCTCCCCCGCCCTTCCCTCCTGGCCTGAGCGTGTGGCCTCACTGCAGGTTTGTTGGGAAAATGGTACCTGAAGGCCTCCGCCTCACCCCAAACCAAAGCGAAATAGCGGGGCCCTCCTCCTGGCACCTCCACCCTTCCTCGTCGAAGATCACGGCATCCCTGGCTCCTGCCTGCTCCCAACCCTGTGATTATGAACCCTCTTCCTGATCCCAGACGCCTGTTCAGCCCATCGGGTAGTTTCATGCTTAGGTTCACATCTGGGGATCGGGTGGACATCTTGCACCTTGACTTCCCACAAGTGAGCAAGGACAAGCTATTTCAGCCTCCCTTCTTACAAATACTAAGCTAGTGCTGGCAGCTGTTAAACACTGTCCCAAGCACGTTCCTGGATTTATCGTCCCGACTTTCTGAAGATTACTTCATACATGGGAAACCTAAGCCCATGAAATGGCCGGTGAGCCCAGGTCGTTGGGAGCCTCTCATCTTCCAGGGGAGAAGGAGCCGTCGCCCTTGGTCTGCAGCACAAGGGCACATGCACGCGGGCAGGAGCGTGTTTGCCAACTACCAGAACCTCAGGAAACCTTTCGTTTCCATTACACATTTCCCAGGGCTCCGGTCACACACATGCATCCCTGCTCCTACAACCCACACTGAACCAGCGCACTAAAATACAAGGAAACTTTTATTTTCAATTTTCATCAAGAAATTTTGCTGTGGTTTTTATGCTTTTGGTTCTTTTCCTTTTTTTTTTTCCAAACTTTATTTCATTCTAGCCGTGGCTGGAGCCGCTGGGTTCCTGGTATTAAAAAGATGCCAACAGAGGTAGCTGTGTCTCACCCAGGGGCCCAGCCCACTCCAAATACCCCAAAAAAGGAGAAAAGAAAACACAAAATAAATCAACAAAATAAAACCAAAAGAACAAAGAAATTCAGATCGTTTTCTTCAAGCCTGGCAGGAACCCACAACAGTTTGTGTGTAACAGACGTTACAGTGGGGAAAGCCAGGGCCCAGAAGAAGGCCAGCCAGCCCGCCAGCTCCCTGCAGATGGCGCCGGCGCTACTGCTGCATTCTCTCCAGCAGGAAGGGCACCACTGCCCTCACTCCCTCCCCTCCCCCAGTGGACTGGGGGCTGTTCCTTTACAACATGGAAGATGGGCAGAAGGAAGGAGAGGGTCTCTCAGGCCCCCAAGGAAGAAGCTGGGCAAGGGAAAGTGAGGAAGGTCATTGCTCAGCGGTGAAGGTGGTTATCGTCAGTCTGGATCTTCACTGCTGCTGGGCAACCTATAGCAAGAGAGAGACATGGAAGTCAGAATTCCAAACCGGTATTCACCAGATCCCCAGAGAACTCTCTGGTAGGAAGGCCCCACCTGCCCAGTTAGGGACAGAGAGTGAAAGTTACAAGTTCCAGAATGGCTCTGCTGGGACAGAGACCATGAGAAAAGGTTCTGCCCTGGCTGGTTTGGCTCAGTGGATAGAGCATCAGCCTGTGGACTGAAGGGTCCCAGGTCCGAATCCAATCAAGGGCACATGCACGGGTTGCGGGTTCGGTCCTCAGTGGGGGGCATGCAGGAGGCAGCCGATCAATGATTTTCATCATTGATGTCTCTCTCTCTCCCCTCTCCTTTCCTCTCTGAAATCAGTAAAAATATTTTTTTTTAAAGAAAAGAAAATGGTCCTACCTGCTGTGGAGTAGGTTCAGGCGCTCGGTTTGCCAGGCGGCTGAGAATGTTACGCTCCGACATCTGTAGCCTCACAGCAACTGGGGGAATCCGGGCAATAGTAGCTGGGAGTCGAGTCACATCAGCTTTCATGTCACTCAGCAGTTCTTCTAGCTGTTTCAGAACTGCAAGGGGGAAAAGGTGGTGAGCTGAGGTGAAGACCCAGCTCCTGCTTACCACAGTGGACCTGTGTCTGCCCATGACTTCTCAGTGACCAAGCGACTGATGTGCTGGAGTGCTGTCCTTTATCAGTCTCCCGACCTGGCCTCCACCACGCTCAAATTCCTACTCCTCATATTCCAGTTCCAACTGTCCATGATGCTATGCCTTTTTAAAATGTTTATTTAATTACAGGTAACTTTCAATATTATTAGTTTCAGGTGTACAGCATAATGGCTTGATGATCATGTACTTTCAAAACTGATACCCCTGACAAGTCTGGTACCATCTGACACCGTACCTGTCATGACAGCATTACTGACAACACTCCTTATTCTGTGCTCCACATCCCGTGGTTATTTTGTATCTATGCCTTTTAAAGTCACCTAACCCTCTCTGCCCTTTGCTCCCTATTGTCTCTACTTCCTCTACTTCTTGAGAAGCTTATTCCTATTGTTTCCTTTTCTCACTATCTTTCCTCTCCACCTTTTGGAGCTGTCTCCTCCTTTATTTATGCCTTCTTTTCATCATTTCACCCTCCACTTCCCTCACAATGTTTTAACTTTCATTAGAAAGGGGTCTAGATTTGTTGGGATCTTAAATCACCTTATGTTACCTCTTAAGTATCCCAGATGACATTATATTATTCTGCTTTACTTCCCACCTCCAAGAACTTGAATATATTAAAAGAGGCAAAGAACTACTATCCTTAATTGCCTCTAAGACAGTGGTTCTCAACCTTCTGGCCCTTTAAATACAGTTCCTCATGTTGTGACCCAACCATAAAATTATTTTCGTTGCTACTTCATAACTGTAATGTTGCTACTATTATGAATTGTAATGTAAATATCTGATATGCAGGATGGTCTTAGGCGACCCCTGTGAAAGGGTCATTCAACTACCAAAGGGGTCGCGACACACAGGTTGAGAACCGCTGCTCTAAGATAATAGCTTCCCAAGGAGGAAGGCACAGATCCCCAGTACATCTTAAGCTCCCAGACAAAAGGACCCTGAAAAACATTTTGGAAACAAGAAATGTGTATTGGAGAGGGGGGGAGGAAGGACTCTGAGTCAGCAGGAGGCAGGAGAGTCACTGGCTACCTTTGTGCAGGACCGCATTGGCAGGCTTGTTTCCTGCCATTGACTCCTTGGACAAGTGTTGATGACTCTCTGCCAAACACTCCACCTCAGCAAAGCGGGTATTTAGAGCCATGGAAGGGTGAGAAGGGTCCTCTGACATGTTCAGGTAAGCTGCCCGCCGAAGCTGTTCCTCAATGACCAGGGCTTGTTCTAGAAGCTGGACAAGGGATAGAGAAGAGATGAGACTTAGAGTGATACTCACTTTGCTTATTTCTTTTGTTTTGGTTAATCCTCACCCGAGAATATTTTTTTCCATTGATTTTTAGAGAAAGCAGAAGGAAGGGGGAGAGACAGAGAGGAAACATCAATGTGAGAGAGACACATCAATTGGTTGCCTCCTGCACGCACCCTGACCAGGACCAGGAATCAAGCCTGCAACAAAGGTATGTGCCCTTGACCGAATCAAACCCACAACCATTCAGTCCGTGGGCCAACGCTCTAACCACCGATCCAAACTGGCTAGGGCTACTGCTTATTTCTGATGGTCTCGGAATGCATAAAAATTAGAATCACAAATAATCCTACCTCCTAGAGGTACTGTTAACATTCTGAGATTTTTCTTTCCATAGGTATTTTTTACATAATTGAAACTATATATACATATCTATATTGTTTCACTAAAAGTTACATAGTAAGCATCTTCCTTTGTTCTTTGCTGCACTTCATAAAAGACGATTCTTAATGGTTTGCATGGTAGTCCATCCCATGGGTATATCTACATCGTATCATTTAAGTTGTTTTACTCTTTAAAATTATTTTTGGCCCTGGCCAGTGTAGCTCAGTTGTTTGGGCATTGTCCTGTGCACCAAAAGGTTGCGGGTTTGAAAACCAGTCAGGGCACATGTCCAGGCTGCAGGCTTGATCCCCCATAGGACCCCTACAGGAGGCAGCTAATCAATGTCTTGCTCTCACATCGATGTTTCTCTCTCCCTCTCCCTTCCTCTTAAAAAAAAAAAATTCTCGAAATTTTTTTGTTGCTTCCTTTGTCTCATATTTCACTTCCATTCCTTACCTTCACCAATAGGTAACCCTTCTAATATACTTACTGTGTGTCTTTTGGTGGGTGTTCTTGAAGTTTGTGCACATTTCTAGTTTACAGAATGTTCTGTATATATAAAATGCTTTCCTTTCCCCACTACGTATCTTCTTAAAGTGTCCATTTATGTTGTTATATCATATGCATTTTGTTGCTTCTAGCTGTTGCTTAGTGCTCCATGATGTGAATCCATATTTTATCTATCCACACTCCCCATTTCGAACAGCTAGGTTGCTTCCAGGCCCCAACAACAAAAATCATACTGCAACATACTCTTGTAGCTGTTGCCTGATGGAGCTGTGTAAAAGGGTCTTTGAAACATATTCCAAGAGACAGAATATTGATTCAGAAGTTATGAGACTTAATTTACTCACGCATCCACTGGTAGAGAGAATGCATTAGGGGACAGGAAAAAGGACAGTATGAGGATAATGCGCTGCTATTTCTTCCACAAGATCTGGCTCCAGCAGGGCCTACTAATTTACCTCCAAACAGACCAAGCATCCACTTTCAAGCCATATACCCTGTCTCCTTCACCAACTCCCTCTTCTGCCCCAAACTGAGCTTTTTCTAGAATTAGCCCTTGACTTGCTGCTGTTCTTTCAAAGTATTCTCCCAACAGATCTCTTCCTCTCCTAGGTCAGCCAGAACCTATATGCAAATGATTTGATGCTTTTCAAACCTGCAGGTCAAGCACTGGTTGTTCTGATTCCACCCATGTATGATGATCACTCTTTGATCCCACTTGTTTATGGTGGCACAGGTAGTGGGAGGGTTATTTACTGGTGAGAAAC